CCCACGAGGAGGGAGGACGGCCGCTGGATCTCAGAACAGCGCACACTCGGACCGTATGACAGGACTGGGCGCCGGCTTTGCGCCCATATCGCTGCGCGACTTTAGCAAGGCGTCGAAGAAGAACCCATACCCGCCGAGTCACTACTGGACGGCCATGGCCAAGATAGTCAACTCACCTCCGGCCCTCATCTCGAACACGCAATACACGGTGCTCAAGGCCATGATTGACGGGCACGAGACGCGTTTTCTGCAATTTTACGGCAACGCGGCCATCGAGGCCCTGCGTACGGCTCTGGTCGAGTTTCCCAAGAAGGCACCCGCCACGAGCCACACGGCGCAGGCGCTGCAAGTCTTGGGACAGGTCCTGCAGCGGGATTCGGGTCTGGCTCTGGCCTGAGTGAATCAGTGAAATCTCGGGGTTGGGCTCTCGAGAAGGTCGGCTTGGTGGTGTGACCAGACGGGCCGCGCAGATACGACTGCATGGGATCAATCGCCTGGCTAGCAGCCAGAGGGACAGAGTTGACTCGGCTTGCGACAAATTTCTTTTCGGCCGCGGCCGGTGTATGACTGGCGTTTGGGATGCATGGCATTCATGTATGGGTTTCGGGGCATGGCCTCGAGAGGCGGACCACAGTGCGTCGCCTCGATGCTTGATAGTTGGGTAGACGGCGTCTGCAAAGATAGAGCATCGGAATGAGCAAGATCAGTCGGTTGCGCAAGTCATGTTCCAAGACGTGCGTTCCGAGTACCAGTTTTGAAAGGGGTCAATTGGTGTCAAACAAATGGCACCGAAAGGCTTGACGCTGAAGGCTTGACGCTTCTGGCATCAACACTATAAAATACAAAACTCCATCCCGTATAGTGACAAAATGGCAGCCCCGAGCACGCATGCCATACCCAAAAATAAATTAAAAAAAGAATCGCTGTCTCATGACCAATGCACCAAGATACCCGCAGTTTCTCACCCCTTTCTCGCCCACGAGGGTTTTCCCTGTCCTCGGCCAGCCCACGCCAGCCAACTTACAAGATCAGCAGCAGCACGAGCAAGATGCACAGCACGAGGATGAGCACGCCAATGCAGCAGCTGCTCAGGCGGTCCTCGTTCCTGCGCACGACGTACTGCAGCTTGGCGACGCCCGTCTGCAGGCGGCCGCCGACGCGGTCGGCGACCGTGTCGACGACCTCGAGCATCTCGCGCTGCTCCTCGAGGCTCGCGGCCCATGTCGTCGGCTGGCGGCCGCAGGTTGCCGACCGTCTGGAAGACGCCGTCGAGGTGCGTGTCCGGCTGGCGCATCATCTCCTGCTGCTGCTGCTGCTCGAATTCGGCGTAGGCGTCGTCGTCGTCGTCGCCAAGTTTGAAGGGTTGGGGGTCGGGGAGGGCCCCCCCCCCGCCGCCCGGGGGAAGGCCCCTCGCGG